CTTCAAACCAGTATAATGCCATAAGACTCCACCCTCTAAACCAGCCATTTTCTCCATGAGAACTACCATTGAGGACTGGAGATCATCCAGAATTACAACTACTGTCCAGGTGACAGAGATCAGTTACCCTGGATAAAATGGCTGCTTTGGAGGGTTGAGTCTATGCATTATTACCTGATGAGACTGCTTCCCTCCCCAAGCCTCACTGTCTCAAGGCTCCACCTCCAAATCTCCAGGAAATTCCCAACCTGGAGCTGACAGCCCTAAGGTGGATTGATTTCTGTAGCTGGGAGATCTGTTTTGATTCCCAGAGCACTGTCACCGCTGCTGGGGGGGTGGGGACAGGTGAGTGGCTGGGAGCACCATCACCACTGCTGCTGGTGCTGTCCAGGGTGCGGAAGCAGGCAGGAGGCTGGGAGAGTGACGGGGGCAGAAAGAGTGATGGAGTGGGGTGCAGGAAGAGAGAGAGGAAGTAACATGCATGGAGGAGAGATGGGAGAGTAAGAAAAGGGGGGCAGAAGTGAGAAAAAGAGTGAGAGAGGTAGGGGGAGAGGGGACGAAGCAAAGGTGTGAAAAATGGGATAACCACCCTGCAAGTTTCTTGAGGGTATCCACTTGTGAGATCATATCTAATCTCTTCTTCTTCTTCTTCTTCTTGAAGGAGCGTGGCTAATGAGTCCTCATTTGAGAATCTTCCAAGGCAATTATATTATACTTGGCATAAAGAAAGTGGTCATCTGGGCCCATTCTTGTGTTGAGGTCTCTTCCCAGTAAAATCAGATCTTCGACCAGGCCCATAGCTACTGTGGGGCCCGTGGGGCCCAGCCTCCCTGTGGTTTTTAATGGGCCCCTTCCCAATCCTTGGCTCCCCCTCCCTCCCCCCTGCCATCACTGCCCTCAGCCCAGCAGCTGGTGACTCCATGCCACCTGCTGCTCCTGCTGGGAGGTCAGAGGGGAGCGCTGCTGAGTGGGGACACCTGCCACCCACCGTGCCTCCCTCCTGGGTGCCTGCCTGCCTCCCTCCCTGCCATGGCCAGCCGGGCTCCCGCAAGGAAGATGCACCCTGCTCTCCCCCCCCGGCCTCCGCAGACCAGCTGGGGGGTTACTCTCCTTGCCATCTTGGGGGCAGGTTGCACAGGGCAGGCTTGGCACTGGCCTTTCTCTCTCCCCCCTGCTGCCCTTCCGAGGCCGGTGGGTAGTCCTTTCCCAGCCTTTTCCCCTGTGGCAGCTGCAGCAGTCTGGACGCTTGCCTTGCCTTGCCAGCATCCTGGACTGGCCCTTCATCCCCTTCTTCACCTCCTTTCCCTTGCCATGTGGCTTCCCCCCCCAGCCAAGAGTAATGGGCAGCCACCTGACTGAAGCCAGCTGGGGTCCAGAAGCAGCCAGACCTTTGCCAGGCAGGAGTGCGTTGAAGGTGATGACAGAAACGTACATGTGAAATCTATAGGGACATGATTAGGGACTGTTGTTTAAAGCCAGATGGAAGAATGACTGGGAATCTTCTCTCCTGTCAAGCATGGGGGATTTAATACTACATCCACCTCCAAAAGTGCTATTATGTCAACAGACTTCCTAATATCCGTTGCATTCATTCAGTATTCTAAAATACTATTCTGAAAAAGAAATACACTAAAATACATTAAAATACAGAGGCTCTATAGTCCTTCTTGTTGAGAATACGTATGTGAGGACTCTAGTTATTATTTAGAAGTATGAGAATGGCATGGCAGTACCACACAGACATATAATGGCAGGCTCCCCGAGCAAAACATTGCCCCCCCCCGAGCAAAATGTTGTTAGCTACGGGGCTGTCTTCGACATAACCTTCTAGTTCCTTCCATGTTTCTTCCAGACTGGCTTTTCTTTTTGCTTAGGAGGGAGGGAAGTGTTAATTACTAATAGTGCTTCTGAGATGAATTGGAGGTGAACTGCCACAGCTTGATGTTTTAAAGCAGGCAATGATGTACAACTTGCTGCCAAAGATGTAGATATCAGAATGCCTAGGCCGCCTTTTAGTTTCCCAGGGCCTAGGCCAGGGGTTGCCTCTACTTTGATGGATCGATATCCATCTACCTCTAAGTCTTTTATTGTCCAGGCTTCCTGGATCAAAATGATGTAATACTGTCTTTAGAAAAAAGATTTCTTCAGGTCAGTGCCCTGTCTCCAGCAAGCAATATTCCATGTTGAAATTTTCAGGGGTATAATTGTGTCCAGATACTCTGTCATGCTGTTGGTATTGTGCTCTGTGTTACTTTTTTGGTTCAGAGCTGTCTCTGTCCTCTGTCAGCTTCTATAATCATACAAAAATCAGGATTGTCTGCGGGAACAGCCAGATTAGTATTGGCATTTCATCTATTTATTAGCAAGAGGGAGCTGGTTTTGTCTTGGAAGGCTAGGAGTAGCAGCCCCTGGAGCTCTCTTTAGGCGAATTAGAAGCAGCAGGGCAGCAGTTTCCTCCAAAAACTAATCCTGCTTAATTTTTCTCTGGGAGACTACTAGGTAAACATTCGATTTATCAAGGCATCCTATTCCTCTGTTGGTAGAGAGCCGAAGGAGGATAGAAGATTGGCTTCAATCTCTTCCTCGGTTTGTCTGTCTTCAAGATTTTTCCTCTTTGGTACATAACAGAGGAGGATATGATGTTCCAACTCCGTCAAGGGCCTTAATCTTTGTTCCTCAAACTCCTGTTTGGAAGGGGGCAGATTTGGAGGTACTGGCTGGTCTGTCAAGGTTGGTGGGTTCAAAAATTCTTCTTTTTAGGTGTTAAAGTTAAAAGTGGCTTAGCAGTCTTTTTTAATTAATTTTTTTTAAAGATTAATTTCTGGGTTGCAGAATTTCTAAAGTACCTCTGGAGTCTGATCTCAAATTTAAAAAGAACCTGGGCTTGCTCATGCATGAGGTTAGGAATTCGGTTTGTGCAGAAGAGCAGTAGGAACTGCTCATAACGAATAAAGCCAGGCAGTCGTTCCACCTTTATGAGGTCAATATCACCAGGATCAATCTTAAGTAGATGTCAGCTAGCTGCCATGTTTCACTTGTGTTTGTTCTTTCCTGACTGTGGTGAGAGTGTGCATGCTTGCTTGCTTGTTTTGCTCGCTTGCTGTAAATAGCGATAGGGAGGTGCTCATGAGTGTGCGAACTGGCGCTGCCAGACTGAGTTATCTGACTAACCTTGAGGAGGAGGGAGGGCTTGCGTTCCACTGTTGGTGTGAATATTTCTGCTCTCATGAGGCACGGAGAGTCTCCCGTTCATTATGTAACGTCCCGCCGGGAGAATTCCCATGCGCACGCTTTGATTTCATTTGCTTAGCCAATTGCAGCATCATGTTATATGTAGTGATGCATCTGCCCCATTGTCATTCCTAACAATATACCTGTTGAACCTGACAGAAGATGGCTTTTAGCCTGCCATTTTGTGGTCCAATTAATATATCTCCCCCTATGGGGAGAACATTTATAGCCATTTATAAATCAGCATTTGAGAACTGCTCTTGCAGGAGATCAGGGTAGCTTCAAGAGCTCTCTGATTTTCTTCAGCATGGAACTCAAACAATAGCAGAATAAGTCTGATTTATTTTCCCCAGACTCCAGGTTTTCCAAAAACAGATGAATAGACCCACTCACCCTTCTATTTCTCTATCCAGCTGAAGGGGTTGCTCCTTCTCTTAGTTTTTTCCCCCCTGACAGTCCTGAGAAATTAACTCGACATCAGTTTCATTATCTTAAGAGTAAAGAAGTTCACTGTAAGCTTGTTGTTAGCTTCAGCCAGGTTATCTCAAGAAGCTCAGTACCCGCTCTGTCGGGCCTATTCGGCTCACAGTGGCTTACAGTTTCTTAGTAGGCTTTGTTCTCCAGACTGTCCTTGATGTCAAGAGCATACAATTAATGGAATATTTTATGATGCTTGCCAGAAATTAATTAGCTGGATGTAATAAACTTAAAAGAAGTTGCAGAGCTCATCTGAATGTGTTTGTGCTGGGTGCCACCCAATTGGAACCTCGTGTGTGACACAGAGTGCCAGACTGGATGGGCCATTGGCCTGATGCAACATGGCTTCTCTTCATGAAGGAAAGATCTATCAGTGGCAACTAGCAATGGTAACTGAGGGGAACCTCCAAATTTAGAGGCACTAAACCTCTGAATCCCAGAGCCAGGAGGCAACATCTGGAGAAGGCCTTGGCTTCTATGCCCTGTTCACCCTCCAGAGGAACTGGTTGGCCACTGTGTAAGACAGGATGCTGTACTAGATGGGACTCTCACTGGTCCGATCCAGCAGGGCTCTTCTTATGTTTTTCCATGCTCTTAGCAGCTAGCTGAAAAACTGCATCTTGCTAACCTACTCATTGCAAAGCCTCACCCCCACCTGGAAGAATCACAACACATTCTACCACAGCAGCCTTCCATACTACCGCCTCAGAGGAGGACACATGCTGGACTCCATGGCAGCAGCAGCAGGAGTATCCTTCCACCAGAGGGTGACATAGTTGTCAGTCAGGACCCTCCTATTCAGATGTACAACTTTGTAACATCCCAAGCATGACAAGATACCCTCCTTGTTGCAAATGAAAATGGAACATTCAAATTAAGCATGACGTTTCTTGTTTGAAACCAAGGACATTTGGACCCTCCCAAGTTTCCTTGGATTATCTCTGCTACTGGTTCCTTTGGGGAACTAGTTTCCCTACCACCACCACCACCCATAGCTAAAGCTAAAATGGAGATGGGACCATTTATGGTGATAAAGGTGAGATTAAATAAAGTCCAAAAATGACATTATGTTCCAGTACAGTTGTTTACTGTACACAGTTGGAAACCATTCTACAGCATGTCAACTGCATTACTTGAATCTGATACTAAGAAAACAATTGTAAAAAACTGCCCAAATGGAACAGCAAAGCATAAAGTTAAAGATTATTTCAGTTTCCCAAAAGAAAACCAAATATCCTTGGCAGATGATCTCTGCCTTGGAACAGATGGCTGCAACAACAAAACAAAATTGCTTGCTTGAAACAGTTGTTGAGTGGCTGCTACCACAGTCCCACATGGGGTTGCACACATCTCTGAGAGATCACCAAGTTCTTTTGGCAGGGAGAGATATCCCTCTAGCCCGTCACAACTACAGAAGAGATGCTTAAATAGAAGCAAGGAGATGTGCCATTTCAGACTATGGGTTGATCCACTTGAACAATAACTTAATTTTTACTTATATCTCATTTTTTATTGTCAGACTGAATGAGAAAACAACTGTAAACAAGAAATACAACAGGCCCAACTCCTCCCCCTTCATAGTAATTTTTAAAGCTTTCAGTGCATTGTATACATTTTTAAATGTTGGTAAAATGCTAACTCTGCAATGTGCTTCGTGGCATACCAGGAGCTGTAAACTACTGGCTTTTTAAAGCACATATTACAGTATTTCAGGTCAAATAATGGGTGATGAATATGAGAGATCTCTTATTTCTGGACCAATTAATATAATCAATAATTGAAGCACAGAAATTTCCCTTAGTTCAGGCTACAAATGAACACAAAGTCCATTAGAAAAAACTCAGAATCCTAAGACCGACTCATTCCAAAGTGTCTCCTCATCTATTGGTCCGCTGACTTTGGCCTTCTTTTTCTCCTTGTGTTTCCTACTTTCCTTTTCAGAAAAACTGTCTTTATTTCCCTTGTCTTTGCCATGCTTTGCTTTCCACTCAGCAACTGAATCGACAGTAACTTGTCTTTGCTTTTGTTTCTCACTGCCCTTGGTCAAGTACATTTCTTCTTTACAGTACCGTTTCCTTTTGGGCTTTGGAAACTGCTGACAAGGGTTCTCTTCTCCATCTCCAGCATATTCTTTCTTGTTTTTCTTTGTCTTTTGACTTCCCCTGGAATAGTTGGGGCTCCTGACCGAAAACGTGAGACTTTCATCAGATGACCAGTCATTATCATCCCATTTGCAGGTGGCCAACGGAGACCCTTGCTTTTCTGAACAAGGTTCTATACTCAATTGAGACAGAGGTGCATTCTCCAGTTTCAGTGGATTCGCAAGAGCTGGTGACCAGCTTGGTACTCTCTTTTCAACAGTGTATGAAGGAGCACATGTTTCTGTGAAAAAAATGGAATGCTGATCTGGTTCATACATATCATGTGAAAACTGATCTTGGTCAAATGCAATGGTCTCCTGACCACTTAATGCTTCAAACTCTTCCCTTTGGAACTCTTCCTCTGGCTTTCTAAAATTAGTCTTTGGTTCCAATCCTCTTGCTTTTTGCACTTCAATGTAATCTGCCAGTTCATCCTGGAAGGAATTATACGTTTTCTTGGCTTTCTTCATCAGACTGACTATCATGGCTTCTCTACAAGAATACAAAATGAAAGAAAAAGTATGAGAATGGACCAAAAAATAGCAGCAAAGTATATGAACCAATGCAAATGAGTACTACAGAAATCTTTTGTGCCAAACTGATATCTGAGTAACTACTTATTTATTTATCATACAGCACCCAGGGTTATTTTAGTTTCACCTTCAACATATGCAGCCCAATACTTGCCAAATCTTCTTAAGTTTGAATTGTGTTTAAATTTTTAGGACTGCAGCCTCAGCCAACTCTGAGGCTTTACAGAACATACCTAAGATCTTAAATAATATCCAGGAGCTCGCTTACGCAGGTACTGCCAGATCCTGTTTTCAGGTTGCTGTGCTACCGTTTGGTGCAGTCCTGCCCAAGATAGGGCCCGGCTGCACAGTGCCCATGCAGTTAGTTGTGTGGCTGTGTCCCTGGAAGTGTAATGGAAGCTCACTTCAGAACAGGCCAGTCCCATCAGCAGTGACTCACAGGGTGGGGGAGAGGGGGGCAGGAGCCCGGAGCTGCCAGGCTGCCCTCCCAGCAGGAAATGAGAAAAGGGCATGGCCACCAAAGGACCCAGAATGAGAAACAGGAGTGGAAAATTTAAGAAATTCAAATTCAACTTGCAACAAAACTTACTTTTTAAAATGTGGGGTTTTTTCCCCTCTAAAAAATATGAAGGCTTTAACTTTCAGCAAATTCTAGAAGGAAAAGGCTAAGCCAAGAGCAGAAGGGCTGCTGCCAGGGACAGTCCAGCAGGGCCTCCCCTGCTCCACCACTAGAGTGTCACGGGGGGGTTAGAAAAGGGGCCTACGACATTCTGGAGCCTGTAGACGTCATTTGGAGCTGGTGAATGGCTGCTGCAGGAGGCCTGCCAGCACTGGACTGGGACATTCCTTTAGGGGTTGGGGCTGGACGGAGTTTGGGGAGGGGGAGAGAACTCAGAGGGGTTTAAGGTAAAGGTTTCCCTTGCTTGAAAACCAGTCGAATCCGACTCTAGGGTTGCGGTGCTCATCTCTGTTTCCAAGCTGAAGAGCCAGCGCTGTTCGAAGACATTTCCACGGTCATGTGGCCGGCATGACTAAATGCTGATGCTCACGGAACGCTATTCCCTTCCCACTGAAGTGGTACCTATGTATCTACTTGCAGTTTCTTGCTTTCGAACGGCTAGGTTGGCAGGAGCTGGGGCCAGAGACGGGAGCTCACTCCGTCATGCGGCACACTCGGGTCTCGAACTGCTGAACTACCGACCAGTAATTCTGAGAGATCTCCAGCCACCACCTGGAGGCTGGCAACCCCAGCCCAACAGTCAAGCCATTGATCTGTCCAGCTTAGGATTATGCCTATTTCATTGGACGCGGGTTCCAGCCACTGAGAGGACAGTGAGCCTGGAGGAGGGCGGGATGAGCGTCTACCCTGAACACTCGTGGCCACTCACGCAACAACCTGGACTGTCAGATCAGAGCAAAGTTTCCTCCTCTCTGCTCTGCAAAAGAAGCTCGTGGCAGAGGTCAGGCTGGTCACAAACTGCACCCCGTCAGTTTACCACCACCTCCCCCGCCTCGTTTCAGTCCATGATGCACCCATGAAGCAACCTTCTGCCCTTTGTCCGTCAAGTCAGAATAGTCTCTGCTCTGATTGGCAGACATTCTTGGTGATATGCTACGCAGTGACGACATTCACGTGGCTTATGGTTCTCTCAGGCTCCCTTTTCATGGGGGGGGCACCGTTTTTAAAAACTTCTTTTTCTTTAAAACATTTATAAAAGCTTGTTTCTCAAATAAAAGAAGGGGAATAAAATAAAATAAATTAAGGAATGCCTGGCCTGAAGAGACAAAGGGAAGCGGAATAAAAAGGAAAGTCTAAGGGAGAGAGAAAAGGGAAAATAAAAAGGAACGAATAAGGAACGGAGAAAGGGAAATGGAACCACACACTGATTAAGTAAAGCCCAGGTGCTGCCCAGCCCTCCAGTGCCCATGGAGCATCCCTCTGCAGCCATCTGAACAGCCTGGTCATTCCAACGAGAGTAGCCAGTAAGGAGCCCTGCCCTACTGGGGCCTCAGCCCCCCTCTCTGAAAAAGCTCGCTGGGCACCAGGGGACGTCCTGACAATCACCACGTTGTCGGCCCCCTGGATCAGAATGACAGATTGGTAATGGATGGGGAAGGTCCAAGTTCACCTACCCACTGGCATGAAACTGTTGAGTCAGTCACTATCAGTTTAGCCTACCTCTAATGGTTGTTGTGGATATAAAATGGAAAGTGGAGAACCTTGAGCTCCTTGCAGAGGGCAGGCAAAAGAAATGAAACAAAAAATGGGTAGATGCCTCTATTCAGAGCTAAATTTTGCAAGAGATCTGTCTCTGCAGTTGGGACTATGGCAGATAACCGGGGGGGGGGCAGGCAGGGGCACAGCGGAGAGAGCAGTCGCTTCTGTCCTCGTCGATCCCTACCTGCCTCGTATGATCCCGCATAACACAGAGTGTGTCAGTGGTAGGGATGGTCACAGAATGCACACACCAATAGGAAGTTTTCTGACCAAATCACCATCTCAGATTGTTACTGTGGTTGCTGAGTGGCTGGGTGACGGCTCGTTTTCACCTGGTGTGATGCAGCCGTAGGCCGCTTTATCTACTGTCCCGCGTGCCACCCCCCCCCCCCCCCCCAACGCACACTTCGCCCCGCCAGCACAA